GGCTGGGGCAAGAGCGCAGGCTCAGCTCCCGCAGGTGAGGCAGCAGGAGAAGGTGCAGCGCTGCCCGCGTCAGGCGCCGCCTCTCGCCCAGCAGCCGGATCAGGTCCTGCACCAAGCTGCCGGCTGAGGGGGGAGGCCACCATTACAGGGGATCAGCAAGAGAGACCCGGCACCGCTTGCCCATCCTCCTCTTTGCCCGTGTGGAGGGGGTCCCCGGACCCCACGTCTCACCCAGGTCGTTAAAGGGGCCCATGACGAAGCGGAATTGGTACTCGTCCAGGTAGTTCTCGCTGTAGTCCTTCACCCAGATGCTCTGCATGTGCCGGGCCAGGCTCTGCAGGCAGAGGCTGCCCAGCGCCGGCACCTCCTTCCTCCTGGGCATCTGGCTGCTGCGGGGGAAAGGGATGGTCGGGCACAGTGGGCTCCAGCCAGCCAAGTCAGAGCTGCCCATGGGCCCCAGCAGGCACTGCAGTTTGTAAGGACCTGAGTTTATTTTGGGTGCACTTTAACCATTTCTACAAAATTGGTTAAGAAAGTCCTGCCTGGGTGCATGCGGCCTCACCCAGCCCGGCTGCCGCACAGTGGGGCGTCTGCTCTGCCCAGGGCTTGTCTGGAGTCAGTGAGCTGTGTGGTGCTGGTTTCTGTTTTCCCTGTCAGGAAATCCCATCGCGCCCAGAGAGGACCAACCAGCATGGTTCGCTGAGGCACAGCACACCCCGAACCCGCTGGCAGAGAGGAGGAGGGAGCATGACAAACGAACTACCCCAGCAGCCCCTCGCCAAGGGGGACCCCCCAAACCTCACAACCCCCCAGCAGGCAGGTCGGGCACTGAGGATGGGAGAGCACAGTGCTGGGAAAGGGGCAGGTGCTGAGAAGATGGGGGGGGGAGGGAGTTTTAATCACGGTGTTAATTGGGACTGGCAACACTTAAGTAATCACACTGCATCCCTGCAAAAACGAGGGGCTGTATCTCGATGAGATGACTAAAGTATCAGCCAGACTAACACCGAATCTCAGTTCCTGGATTCATAAACTCAGGAGACACCCCAGCGCACCCAGCAGGCTGGGGAGAGGTTAACTGGGAGGAGGAGAGCTTCAGGAATCCCAGCAACTGGGGAAAGGCAAACATCAGCCCTGCCTGCAAGGGGGCCGTGGCGGACTGCAGGCACATCAGACCCCAGGGACTGGGAAAAGACCCTCCTGGAAGCCACCTCCAGGTGGACAATAGGTCAAAACGTGGCAGCCGGCACGGATGGACCATGGGCAAACTATGTCCTTCCAGCCAGAGTGGATGTCCACGATGGGATGAGCTGTGTGGGCACGGCGAGGGCAGGGGACGTGTCACACCGTCACTTTGGCAGAGCCCTGGATGCAGCCTCCCAGCTGGCAAACCAGGGCAGCTCCGTGGGCAGCGGGGGTGGGAAAGCAGCCACGCTGGTGGGTTCAAAGTGTTGTGACCCGCGGGACACAGGCTGTCACCGCAGCGATCGATACCGGGGCTGGCCGGCTGCCGCCAGCCCAACGCCCG